CTCTCTCTCTCTCTCCCTTTCTTTCTGCCTCTCTCCATTTTCTCCCTTTTTCTATATTCAATGCATATACTAAATCCTTAATATCCCTCACCTCAATCCATTGTCTTCGTCCTTCTCACATTTCTCTCTTCTCTCGCTCGCTTCCTCTCTCTTATTGTCTGACTCTTTCTTTCTCTCTCTCTCTCTATCTCTCACTCTCTCTCTCAATAACCCTCTCTCTCTCTCTATCTCTCTTTCTCTTTCTATCTCTTTCTCTCTCTTTCACTGGCTCTCCTTTTCACGCTTTCACTCTCTGTCTCTCTCTCTCTCTCACTTATTTTCTCCTCCCCTCCCTATCTCTCACCCCAACCTCCAGAAACCTCTCTCTCTCTCTCTCTCTCTCTCTCTCTCTCTCTCTCTCTCTCTCTCTCTCTCTCTCTCTCTCTCCCTCTCTCTCTCTTCTCCCTCCCACACAGGACCGCTCAGGGATGGAGGTGAGAGTTGGTCGGTTAGCGCCATGCGCCGGGTCGCAGTACAGGAATAGACGAGCGGGCGGTGGCCGTGGTTATTGTGGCGGAGTTGGTGGTAGCGATGATGGTGGTGGTGGTGGAAGTGGAGGTGGTGGTAGCGATGATGGTGGTGGTGGTGGAAGTGGAGGTGGTGGTGGTGGTGGTGGTGAGGGTGGTGGTAGCGAAGTGTTTGGTGTGGTAGAAGTGGAGGTATTGGTGATGGTGATGGTTAAAGTGGTAGTAGTAGTGGTGGGAGTGAAGGTAGTGGTAGTGGTAGCGATGATGATGGTGGTGGTAGTGGAAGTGGAGGTGGTGGTGGTGATGGTGGTTGTAGTCGAAGTGGAGGTAGTGGTGGTGGTGATGGTAGAACTGAAAGTAGAGATGGTAGTGGTGGTGATGGTGGAATAAATTGTGTTAGTTGTGGTAGTGATAGTCGTGGTATAAGTGGAGATGATGGTGGTGGTGGTGGAAGTGGAGGTGGTGGTGGTGGTGGTGGTGGGTGTAGTAGAAGTGGAGGTAGTGGTGATGGTGGTGGTCGAAGAATTGGTCATAGTGGTGGTGGTGGTAGAGATGATGGTGGTGGTGGTGGTGATATAAATTGGGATGGTGGTGGTGGTGGTGTTGGTGGTGGTGTGGTGGTATAAGTGCTGTAGTGGTGGTGGTGGAGGTGGTATAAGTGGAGGTTGTGGTGGTGGTGGTGGAATAAATGGTGGTAGTTGTGGTAGTGGTGGTATAAGTGGAGATGGTGATGGTGGTGGGGGTGGTGGTATAAGTTGGGGCGGTCGTGGTGGAGGTATAAGTGGAGGAAGTTAGTATTGGTGGTGGTGGCAATGGCTGTTGTGGGGGTAGTGGTGATAACAAGAATGGTGGTTGCAGTGGTATTAGTGGGAGTAGTTTGTGTTATGGTAGCGGTGGTGGTGATGATGGTGTCCATGGTTGATGTGGTGGTGATGACGGTGGTGATAGTCGTAATGTGATACTGCTGCTGGTGGTATTGGTTATGATTGCGATGGTGTACGTAGCAGTAATGACGCTGATTGCGCGGGATGGTGGAGATTCAAGAAACATTTCACAGAATTAGAGAAGTGACAGAAGGTACACGTTTCTTTTTCCATAGCAAACACATCGTGTAATTGTCTTTTTATCCTTTTTTCTTCTTCTATATCATATAGGCTATCTTTTTATCAATCTTCCATCATGGTCATCTATCTATCTATCTATTTATCTATCTATCTATCTATCTATCTATCTATCTATCTATTTATCTATCTATCTATCTATCTATCTATCTTCTATCTATCTATCTATCCATCTATCTATCTATCTATCTATCTATTTATGATAATACACATTGATTATATATTATATTACATATGAAATACATATTAAACACAAATCACCAAGGTATGTGATGTTATGCGACGCTTTGTGCACATAGGTTATATTATGTTCGATACCCTAGCCTGAAAGCTATTTCATCAGCTATCTCTTTTTTGTTGTTATTGCTAATACAATGATAACTAATTCCGGATTCGCCCGTCTCACACACACACACACACACATACACACACACACACACACACACACACACACATACACACAAACACACACACACACACACAAACACACAAACACACACACACACACACAGACACACACACACACATTTTTTTGTTATATGTAATAATGAAACTGCGTCTAGCATCAAACGTTATGTTAGAAGAGCCACTGTACTTTTTTAAAACATCGGAATAAAAATATCAGTGTGCGGAACAGCGAATACCTCGCATTGATGGTATTAACCATTATATCGATACTCGCTAGGGTTTTTTGTGCGTTTTTGAAGCTTTCAGATTCAAATAGACTGAATATTGTGTGACTTCGGTCAGATTTGGGAGAGGCGAGCTGGGATACACAATCCCTTTGTAGTTTTGCTGCCTTGTGGGATTAAACTTTGACTGCAAAGTTTTAAAAAATAATGGAAAGCAAAAATTGTTTCCATTTTTGGAGTCGGCGTATCACATTACGCAAGGAATAGCAAGGAACCTGATTTGATACATTAATAAATAGGTCAATTTTAGATTTTAAGTCATGAATCAAAGTCACCCACCGCTTCGTGCATCAGAATCTGACATCAAAACGTCCACACACTGCACCATCGCTGCATAGTGTACAGCATGGGAACACTGTTTTGTGGTTATTGAAAATTGAAACCAATTGTAATTTGTCTCGTTTAGCTTAATTCGATACTGTATTCTATTACAACTAAGTAAACTATAGCAAATAAAAGATCGTAAAAGGCCAGTCGCTGTTTTCCGATTACAATGACCCCAGAAGTCTGTCTTCCCCGATGTAGCTAAAGCCCCTTACTTAGTTGTTATCATTTTACTTTTCTTTTACTCAGACTACCGGCTTGTTTGGTGTAGCGGTTAAGGTGCTTCGCCGTCACACGCAGAAGATCCCAGTTTCTTCTTCTTCTTTGTAAAGTGTTTTACGGCGCTCGGAACTGCATAAGGTCATATGAGTGCGCGGGACACACCTAATATTTTCAGTTAGTAGGAAATTTTGAATTTTTGCCGAAGCCTACTCTTATCGATTTTAGACCACCAAGGGATCTTTAACGTGCGCAACTTGCACACGGGCACTCCGAGATTTTTCGCCCTTGTACGAGAAGGCTAGGTGTAGATCTTTCTTACCAGAAGGGGTGTGGCAGAAAGACAGCAGTAAGGAGGAGCCAAGGAGTAACAGTAGAAAGGCTGCAGAAAGAGTCAGAAGCCCAGAGGAGGGGGCAAAGGAGGTGAGGGGGTAGGGGCAGAAAGTGGAAATGAAAGCAGACAACAGAACATTGCTAGAGAGAAGGAAAGGAGGTGAAAGGAGACACTTTCAGAGAAGAAAATTTTTCGGTCGCTACCCGGATTCGAACCCGGGACCTTTGAATGAGAGGCCAACACCTTAACCTCTAGGCCACGAGAGCCCCCTATCCAAGTTTGATTCCCAAGTGGAAAAAGGTTTTATTGAACACCTAGGTCTTTCTGATTGGATTTATATCACTCTCAGCCCAGGTTGGTCCTGAGAGGCAGGGTTCAAGCCCACGTCCATAGTATCTCAATTGTGTAGATGAGGCCGTGAAAACACTTCAACATAAACAATCAATAGAA